ATCCGGCCACCAGGTCCCTGCTGCCGGGGGTGGCTTAGCCCTGCGGTGAGTGTGCCAGGGCCGCTTGCAGCCCACGGAAGCCCCCTTCCCCATGGCCTCATGGCTGAGCCCTGTTGAACACCAGACAGGATTTAGACTTGCCGAAGCAAGCAATCCCACAGGATTTAGCGGTTTGGGATTGTAGGAGGAACGTAGGGGAGGCCAGGCAGCAGGGTATGGGGTCCTTCATGGGGCTGGGAGCACAGGAGGTGCCGTGGTGGGGACATAAATGCGGGCAGGAGAAAGGGGCTTCGGCTCCACTCAAGCCAGGCAGATGTGGGCTGACTGATCCCAATAGCATTCTTGCCAGCAATGTCACGAGGATCTCGATGTCATCGCTGAACCATCTAGTTGGGATTGGCGTCTCTGGGAGAAACATGGTTGCCCAGCAAAGGCTGGGATCAGGCACCTTAGGGCCAGGGCTCTGGTGGCCACTGTAGCCAACACCGAGCAGCACCCGCTTGCCTACAGCCATGCACAAGTGCTGTGTCTCCCCTTCTCCCTTTGCAGGTCCCCGCAGTCAGATGGGGAGATGCCAGGAGGCTGGAATGCTTCCTCTGACAGCCCAGAGCTGCGAGCCGCAGGGATTATTGTGCCCGTCATCTTCTCCCTCATCTTCCTCCTGGGCACTGTAGGGAATGGGCTGGTGCTGGCCGTGCTGCTGCGGAACGGCCAAGTCAAGTACAACACCACCAACCTCTTCATCCTGAACCTGGCCGTGGCCGACCTGTGCTTCATCGTCTGCTGTGTCCCCTTCCAGGCCACCATTTACACCCTGGATGGGTGGCTCTTTGGGGCCTTTGCCTGCAAGGCTGTGCATTTCCTGATCTACCTCACCATGTACGCCAGCAGCTTTACCCTGGCCGCCGTCTCCGTTGACAGGCAAGCATCCCCTCCCCTTTGAGTCCTCAGCTCAGGGACATCGTGTTTGCCACACTTGACCTAAGCGGCAGGAGAAAGGCGAGTCCTTACCCTGTTGCGTGCCTTGTAAGAAGGAGGTAGGGTCTCCCCAGAGTCAGGGCCAGCAAAGCTAGCCTCCCCAGCTTCCCATATGCCTCTCCCAGCACCACGCCAAGCTCTTGGCCTGGTTACCCAGCCCTCACTTGGGAAGGAAGGGTGCAAGCAAATGCTGAGGTTTGGTGTCCACCATGCAAAACCAAGAATAGCAAAAGCCCCAGGGCAGCAACACACCGCAGGAGAAACAGGGAGCCCTCTGGGTCCTGCTCCTGTCCTTCTCTTCCCTGGTTCAGGAGGCATGCTGCTTGTCCTTCCCGAGCTAGGACAGCAGAGTGGATGATGGAGATCCCAGACCCGCTGCTGGGATGACCCTGATCAGTGAATTCACATTCACTGTAACCCTCTCTGCCAAGAGGTGGGGAGGGGGAGAGATGGGTGGCTGCGTGGGAAGGGTGCACAGATGGCAGCTCCACAGGGCAGGAGACATCCCTCATCTCACCGATGTTGTGTTTGGTCTCTCCTTCTCCTTCCTCTCCTCACCAGGTACCTGGCCATTCGCTATCCGCTGAAGTCCCGGGATCTCCGCACCTCCCGAAATGCAGGAGTGGCGATTGTAGCCATCTGGTCACTGTCGCTGCTCTTCGCGGGGCCTTACCTCAGTTACTACCAGATTGTCCATTACCATGGGGTGCCCATCTGCGTCCCCATCTGGGACAACCAGCGCCGAAAGATTCTGGACATCCTCACGTTTGTCTTTGGATACATCCTGCCTGTGACCGTGGTAAGCCTGGCATACGCCAGGACCATCAAGTTCCTGTGGACCTCCGTAGACCCCATAGAAAGGATCTCAGAGTCCCGGAAGGCCAAGTGTAAGGTCACTAAGATGATCGTGGCTGTGGCCATCCTCTTCTGCCTCTGCTGGCTGCCCCACCACCTGGTCATCCTGTGCTTCTGGTTTGGCCACTTTCCCTTCAACCGAGCCACTTACGCTTGCCGCCTGGCTTCCCACTGCCTTTCATATGCCAACTCCTGCCTCAACCCCATTGTCTACGCCCTCATCTCCAAGCATTTCCGCAAGCGTTTCAAGCAGGTCTTCACTTGCCTCTTCTTCCAGAACAAGACCAGGAAGAGGAAGAAGAGAGTTGGGAAAAAAGTCCACGTGGTCAATGTGGGCAAAGGTTTCACCAGCAGCACCAGAGGTTTCTATGGAGGCAACACTGAGGTGACCCAGGTCCGAGAGGAGAACACCAGGAAGAGGGACCCTGAAGGTGCCAGTCATCCCAGAGCTTGGACTCACCAGCTACAGGATGCCATGGTCTCTGCTCAGAAGGAGCTGCTGGAGGAGGAAAGTTTGGCAACAGCTGGCCATCCCCTGGCCACGACTCCTCCAAGAGGAACTTGTGAGTTTCGGACTGTGCACTACAGATGAACAAAGTGAAGAAATCTGTTTTCCAGCCAGTGAGTAGCCACTCCATTCCCAAAGAGGCAGAATAATGTGGGGCAGAGGGGAATGGATGCTGCAGAGCCACTGAAAGGTCCTGTGGCACTGGTTAACCTATTGTCCGCACTCACCCTCACTTGCTGGCCCACAGCATTCGTATGGGAATGGCAGAATCCACCCACACAAATGCAGAGTGGAGGGACATGT